AGCCCGGGGAGGGGGGGTGCAGAAGCCGGGGACGGGGTGCACCGCGCCGGCAGAGCGGAGGGTTTCACACCCCCGGCTGCAGCCGTGGCTTTTGGGGTCCTCTGAGCCTTTTTAACAGAAATCCAGTGTCTGTCTGCGCTTCGTGAAGCACAAGCAGGACGCCGTGAGCCCAGAGGGTGGTGGTGACGTGAGGCTTTGGGTGCAGGTGCAGGACACCCAGGGGTACAGCACACTCTCCATAGCCCTGTCCCAGTCCCAGTTGGGTCCTTCAGGGGGTCTGCGCTGGCTGGGACCCCCCATATTGGGTGTTTGAGCCCACTGGGCATTTCACAGCAGCCGGGCTCTTCTCCCTGCACCTGACTGCTCCCAGACCCATGTGGGATCTTCCCAGCCTGGGGGAAAAATCCCCCCTTCGCTCAGTATACCTCCAGCATCTCCTTCTCCGCGAACGCAGGCACCCCCCCCACACTGGGGGCTCACTGGGCAGCCTGGGAAGCGTAGGGGGTGCCAGGCAGGGAGCTCAGCCCCATTTCACTGCAAGAAACCCCTCTGGGAGGAGACATGTCCTGTTCCCCGGCCGTGGGCAGCAGTGTGGGTCCCTTGCTCCCTGGGGTGCTGGCTCTTTGGATGGGGCTGACCCCAGCTCTGCGGGCTCGGAGATGGGCCATTCATCCCAGATGAGACAGCATCTCCTAATTTTAGCACTGGACAGATATATCACCCACAGGACCATGGGCAGGGGCCGTGTCCGTGTGTGTGTGTGTGTGTGTGTGTGTGTGTGTGTGTCCCCGACGACTGCCATTTCAGAGGGATGCTGGACCCGCAGCCCAGCAGCCAGCCCTGTCCCCCCAGCCCTGAGCTCTCACACTGCTGGGTCCCAGCCCTGCAGCCCCCGTCCCTTGGTCCCCCGGGCCAGGTGTGACCCCCATGCCCTGTCCCCACGGCCTTCCCCCCACCAGCCCGAGCAGGGGCTCTGCCGCCGGGATGCTCCGCTTCTCCCTTTTTCACACCTTCCCTGCCAGCGCCGGGCTGCGCTGCTGCTGCCCTCCCTCTCTTCAACACCTTTTCCTCCTCCGAGGCATCGCATCTCCTTTCTAGAGAGAAGCGTGTGGGCTGGGGATTTTTTGTTCCTCCATAGATTTT